GGTAGGTTCATACAGAGACTGATAACTCCTATTGTTGTATTTTTATCTCTTTCTGTTATTTCCTTCACTTTCTAGTTTGTCATTTAAACGTCCCATATATTGCGATTCGTTCTATGAAAATTCCAATCTCACCGGCTCGTAAATCATCGCCGTCGGAAGATTTCGTTAATTTTGTTCGCGAAAGAATATTTGGAATTAAAAAGTAATTGCCACAGACAAGAACGCATGGGCGAATATAAATTATTTATAAGCAACTGGAATTTGGTTCTCGAATTTATGACCGGCCAACTTGACGTACGATCGTGACAATAATATTCAGAATCTTACTCTCTTTCGTATCGTTGAAGGAACTTTTTCATTTCGCTCGTGTTATGTCGACTATCGTAGGAAAAATCTATGAACCGATATAAATCAGAAGTAAGTTTCGCGGGCTTGTAACGTACAACAAATCGTATCTCCTTTAGTTCTTCGTGTTCCAATTTAGGAAATGAACGGTTGATTGGAAACAGCCAGCCACGGATTAGTGTACTTCGCGCTAGGTTCGTTGCTGAACATCGAAACCTTGCCATTGAACACGTTGCTGGGCTTGTGCGCGTCGTTCGCGAAAATTTCATCGATAAGAGTCTCGATGAGGGTTACCAACGCGACAAAATTGCCTCCTGGTCTGCCAGATAACGCGATCGTATATCTTGGATTCTTCAGATGTCAGTACTCGGTGAGTAAATCTCAACGGATTTAATGTCTGCTCTTTCATACGAAATGTGACAAAGTATTATCGAATTTTTCGAACCACACAGAAATACACGAATGTTCATAACGCATAGTGGACTTATGGGAACTCGGCAAGTTATCCACTATGGAGTTTCAATGATAGGAATACCGGATCGGATGAGAAACATCGGTATCATGGTTCATAAGAATATGCCAGTGTTATTACGTTTAGGGGATCTCGACGAACGTTTCATGGATATCGCGCTAAATGCACTTTTACACGACCCTACATTTAGCTAAATTAATAATATCTTCTACTATTTTTTCAACATCGTTACACATATTTGTTAACGTTACCGTTATTTTTATTTATTTATTACTGCTTAGTCCGTGCCTTTCGGCTTTGCACGAACTTTCGGTTTTACATCTCTTATGTCTATTTCTCCTCTCTTCTTATGTGTCTACCTCCCCTCTTTTCCGCTCTATTCTATTGCACTACCTTGCTTATTCTACCTCTAAAAACTAAGCATTAGGAACTATGAATTAGCAACTAACGATTTTGCCTCCTTGCTGTGCTTCCTTCCTATCCCCGTCTTGTATTGCCCCTCTCTTCTCTATTATTGCTTTCAATTCTGTTAAACCTTCTCCAGTCTCATTTAGCGTTTTTCCTATGTCCTTTGGTCCTCCCGTTATTTCACATTCTTCCATTACATGTCTCAGGTCCTCTTCTTTCCTTTTACATAGTCTGCGTCTTTTTTCTCCCTCTTCTTTCCAGTATTCCCTTGCTTTGGTCTCGTTTCCGCATCTGAATCTTGCCGGTATTCTTCTGTCCTTCCACTTCATCCTCCCTTCTAAGTACTTTGGTCATTTTTCTTTGGCTATATTCCTGTAGCGTATATTATACTTGGATTCTCTTATCCTTTTCCCCCTTTCTTCTGCTTCTCTCTTTCTTCTTTCTTCTATAATTTGGTCTGCTGTCATCCTTTCTTGCTCCTCTCCTGCTTCTATCTGCGTCGCTCCCTTTCTCAGCTCTTCTAGTCTCTTCTTTCTCTTTCTTGCTCTTTTCCCTTCATGACCATTTCCCCATTCTCTCTCTCTCTCTCTCTCTCTCTCTCTCTCTCTTTCCTTTACTAATTCCTTTTTTGATTTTAGAGATTCTGCGAGAAGGATGTCGCGGAAGTTGAGAGATCGATCATTGAGCCCTTTGGATACCGCAATTTATTGGATCGAGTACGTGATCAGAAATGGGCCAAATTCTTTGAAATCTCCCGCAGTGGACATGCTCTGGTGGAAATTAAACTTAATCGACATCATCGTTGTTCTAATCGCGTGCTTCACTCTAACCCTCTATCTGGTATTCATTCTCGTTAAAATTTCAATTACAAATTTCTAAAAATTAAAAACTAAAAGTACCGCCGAACGGGAAAACAAGTTAAATCGAATCCTTTTCGGAAAATTAAACAGGTCAACGTGAATTACGATACGCGTCTTCTTTTTTTCTTCGATAATCTTAAATAGACCGTACCCTTTTAAAAAGATTATGTTATTCTTTTTCACTTCTTTTCGTATGAACGTGTCGGTATTAATGTAAATCAAATTCGTAACAATAATTTGCTCCTGGTAAAACAACAATATATTTATTTAAACATTGTCCTTGTGTTTTTGTCAACAGTAAATTACGTCCTATTTTGGAATATAAATTGTAAAGTTGTAATTGATATAAAAAATAAAAAAAATAAAAAATTTGTCAACGTATCGTTGCTTCGAATTGATAGTGGCACAGATAAAAAAAAAGTTCTTTTATTTAACAGACGGTTCGCGTTATGTTTTTAATTTTAGTACCATATAATTTATAATTAATACATCAGTTTTGCGTCAGAAGAGGAAAATATTAGCTGGGCCGCTATTAACGTGACATTATTTTTGTAATAGACGTGTTCATTCTTAGGCGTTTCGTAATGCCGCAAGTGTAAGATTGTACTGTTTTCGCGGATAGCGGTGTATCTTGTGTTAAATCAGCCTTCTGGTATCGTTCGAGCGATCCACGAAGGCTTCTTTGTGAATTTTCAAAAACCGCTCTTCTAAAATTTGTATTTTCTCGCACAAGCGTATGCACAAACTGCAAAGCAACGATATAATTTCACAAGTAGATAAATTTTACGATTTACGACGATTAATAAAAACCGAAATAAATAAAGTGGCAGATGTGTATGAAAATCACTGATGAGCCGATCTAAGGATTTCTATAAGGATCTATAAGAATTGCATGGTAATTACGATCTTTTGGTTAAAATCGAGGATAAGTCGCCGTAGAAAAAAAACAGTAGACGCTTTTCACGGAAAATGTTTTTGGTTTTGAAAATTCGTCCTTGCGAACGTTTGGTTGAAAAAGATCTTCGATGTAGAAATCCGTGTGAAACTGTGGTTATACGAAAGAAGGATAAGCGGCAAGCGATAGGCGGTAAAGCGACAGAAAATAAATCGATGCAATTTACGCCTAATTCTGTAGATTTGTATTATTTAACTATTTTAACTGGCTAGTTTTTATGAACTGGTTTGTCAAAATATGAATTCTGTGAGGTATCTCGTTGCAGAGATACAACTGAGAAGTTTTACTCCGCTTGTCGTTTATTCTTACGACCGATGAATTCGCAGCAGAACGATCCAAAATCGGACAGTAGCGATCAATTTGTAGAAAATGATCGTTAACGAATTTTGAAGTATCACGTAGAAGAAAATGTTTGATACGTTAGAAATGAAAATTACCGGACGAAAGAGAAGAAACGGCTGGATGTTCGCAAGGATATGAACAATTTTATCGTAATTCGTTAATAACTCTGGTCGTGTTGAATACAAATTACATTTTAAATAATAATAATAATATAATACATTACATTTTATTTAAGCATGGTGCAATAAATATCATCCATAAAAAAAGATATGTACGAGTTACACATTTATCAATCAACAACAGTCAACCGAAATTCGTCGCGCCTTATTTCCGCGAAGAACGAGTTCAATTTTCCGCTTCAACAACCTGAAAAATTCCTGAAACGTGTGTCGCTGTAGCCGAATATTTTGCAATTCGAATACTACACCAGAGATAAAATCGAATAAAGAAATAACGGAAGCGTTAACGCACGAGTTAAGCTTTATCCGATAACATTGCTGTTATTAGATTTAAGTATTAAAATAGAAATTATCGTGTACCATAGACTAATATGGCGTAACAAGTTATATCTGAAAATATGAAATGTCGTAAGTGAACGTTAGGCGTAGCTGTGTGGAAAAAAGAAAGGGCAGAATGTAAAAGACTTTTGTAAATAAAAAAGAAACGATAAGAATAGGATAATTCGTTATTCTTACGTATAATAGATTAAATCATGAAGCGAGAGCTTAAAAATTGTTGAGTATGTAAGAAACGTTAGTTTCTCCTCTCGTTGTTTGTCTTTCGAGACTAATCGTTGTTTGATTTTCAAGACTGATTATCGTTCAAGACCATTTTCCGTCATTTAGTAAATACCATCTGCTTTAAAATTTCTGAGCTTCCCTTTCTACCATTCTGTACATTGTTCGCGTTTCTCATTGGCCGAAAAATGAGACTTATAGCTGATATACTAATTAGCAGCTGTGTAAGCATACAAAAGTAATAATAACAGGTAAAAATTCCACTTTGAAGTACTTTTCCACTTTATTTTAAATTTTCTCTGGCCTAATTTTTCAAATTACAGCGTTAATTATCGATAATCATCGAGAAACTTATAATAACACTTGTAAGCAGTTTCCTCAATTCAAAAGGAAAACTTAGAAGAAAGCGAAATTTTCAGAAAGTAAAGTACGTATCATTCCTCTGCGTCTCTCAACGTCGCGAGAAAGAAACGATCGATCTTCGAATTATCCTTCCATTTTCTAGCGCAAATTTTCCTAAACTCTAATTATACTCTTGCAAAATTCCCAATCAAGATGCTAATCAGATTATTACGAATTTTCGAGAAACTGCAAATTTCTCCGCGAACAAAATGCAATTTTCCTACTCAGCGGAAAAAAAAGATCGAGATAATTAAAGTAGCCATCGAGTTACGCGGGTATCTATTAGCCTCCCATTCTATGATAGCTCATTTAAAATGACAAACTCCAATGACAAACTTATCAACAGATTGTTGTAATTCTATCTCTCTATTTATGAGCAACACGATATATATATATATATATATATATATACATATATATAATTTTGATTCACGACGATTCAATACTTTTAACCTAATAATCTATACAATTTTCTAAATTGATGCATCGAACTTCATCATGTGCAATACGCAATCGGTATCGCACGAGTGACATAACTTATTGGCGACCGAGCAATAACTACTCTTTACAATGGCTCCGTTTCAAGTTTCGCCTACCTATATATTCGCGTTTCCTTGACCCTGGTAGATTACAATACAAACACATAAGCCAGTATCGAGGCGGCGTTTATAAAACTACGTTTCATACTCGTCAGATGATTCGAAGAGACCGAAAACACGAACGTTACTCGAGAAAATTTTGCAAGTAATCTGGCCGAAGCGACTTGGATAGTTTATCGTGATCATCCAACTCGAATACGTAGTTGGCCGACGATCCGCGCAGAAGGTGATCGACAGCGTGGAAGGAAGATGTGTGCTCGCGGATAAGCGTAATCGATGAAATTCCACTCGTCAGCTATTTTCAATAGGAAATGATACGTATAAACAACGATTGGAAAGTTTCAGTACTTGTTGACCGTGTATAGCATTTTAGATTGCGAGAGAAATCGACCATTGGAGGATGGAATTTATCTCTGATGCTTCAAACGATACGGATAATTGATTATATATAACAACGAAGCTTAGTGATCGATAGCTCACGATCTATTAACGTTTTATACCGATCGACGTTCCCTGGAACGGTCGCTAGAATCGACGGTCGAAGATAAAAAACTGCTCTCTTCAGGAACCTGTGAACTGGATTGCGATCTTTCTGCGGCCAGCGAAATATTTTTTAAAACAGTGGCTATTTCTGTGAAGTGTACGATGATAATGTCGACTCTGAATTAGACCGTGTCAATCGCGAGATCAAGTCGACGCGCTATTGTGATCCGTGAAAATTTCACTCGTCTCTTGTCGTTTTCGTATTTCGAGGCTTTATAAAGGCTAATTCGTGGAAGCTTCGTAAATTACCGTAGTTTCGATAAAATCTGTTAAAAATTCATACGTCCCTTATCATGTTTCGTATTTTGAAGCTTCGTAAAAATTCAGTTGCACGAAAGTTGATAGTAAACTAGATAAACTTCTGTTATTAACTAATTGAACAATTTGCAAGTGAAGTGAATCTCTTAGAAAGTGTTCGGAAAATGAAGCTGTTTCCAGTGGTGTTAATTTTCACGATATTATCGATATGTCACGGATATCGAATATTAGGCGTGTTTCCCTTCAATGGAAAGAGTCACTTTATGATGTTCGAACAATTAATGAAGATTCTGGCTAAGAGAGGACATCAAGTCGATGTGATTAGTACGTTCCCTTTGACGAAGCCGTATCCGAATTACAACGATTTAATCGTGCTACCGATGGCGAGACAATTCATGAACAACATGACTTACGACGAAATAAACACGTTGTTTGCGGAGGCGGTTACTCATGTCGTGGCTACTTTGGCGGGAAACGATATTTGTGAATTTTTGAACAACTCACAGGTGCAGAAACTTATACGAAACCCGCCTAACGATCCACCTTACGACGCGGTCATAATGGAGGTATGAATTATAATAAAATATCGCGTGAGAAAGGCCCTTGTTCAACGATATCATTTTATTCACGGGAATAATGAAATTCCTATCTTAGAAAGTGGATCGCTTCATCGGTGGTTCATTTCTGCGGATATTTCAAAATTGTATCAGATTAGCCGTATAGTTAGTTGTAAGAGCGAAGAAGAAAATTATGTTCGTAATAGTTCGGATCGATCGACGGCTTAGGAGATTTAAAAATTGTTCCGCTATGAGATACAAAAGATATAGAACTCAGCGTGTCTGTTCTTCTGTGATCTTCAATTTCATCCGACCACTGAATACAGTTAAATATATAAAATAAGATAGGATTTAATGAAATAATTTATTGAAATATCGAAATTGCGTGAAATGTAATAAAAGATAAAAGGTAAAACGTAATTCTGTTACTAGCGTTATTAACAATACCAAAGAATACGCTTTTGATATATTACTTCCTTTTTTTAAGAGATATACTTTTGAAATGTGCAAGTTTGAAATTGCAAATTTTCCTAATTTTCCGAGTGCTCGGTAATTTATTACGGATAGATAATTTAATAGTAAGCTTTCGAAATAAAGACGAATGTTCTTTGACAAGAAATTTCGACTACAGGAAGGAAGTTGGTGAAATAAACCATCTAAGTTATTCTAGATTATAGCCTTTAGAAATATATTCAAATCGACTGAATGCCAAACACATATACAACAAATGTGGATAGAATATAAATGTTATTTTCAGTTCGTGGGTATTATGCAGCGCATAAAGTTTTGCATTATTTATCAGGGGCTTTACTTCGTTCGAAATTATAGCTTTCAGAGGATAAAGAAAGGCATCGTGGTTACGATACGGAGAACATTTATAATTAATATACATTTATATTTAAAATGTTATGTAAGATTAGAATCGGACATCAAAGAGGTATGAAGATTTGTTGTTATGTAATTGTCATTCACGTCATATACCGTATACATTTGTACGATAGATACATATACCGATACATTTGGCATTTCGAAACGTAACGATTTCAGTTGCAATATATCGCAATTAATATTTACGAATCATTAAGCAATCATGGTTGTTCCCAAAATTTGCAGAATATATACGGACGAGAAGAAATGAAATTGATCGGATTTCGCGTTCATTTATGAAATGCACGCTTGACTGTCTGTGGCAAATAAATAAATTACATCTTTATATTAAAACAAACATTTGTCAAAAGTAATATATGCAGAAACCAATTGTTACATTGTAACAGTAAATTGCTGAATCCGACGATAATTATAAAATGAAATAACGCATAGAAAGAGGAGGAAAAGTAAATAAGAAAATAAAGATAGAATCGCATAAATATTCTACTAATTACTAATTTATATAAATAAAAATAGAGGATTTGTTACACATAGTTACAGGGCGAGTAAGAGATCTCGTGGTTATTTGGTATTCCAAAGTGTCTAAAGTGTCGTTCGTAAATTGAAAGTAGAATTAGTCGATGAAGACCTATTGTTCAAAGTAGACCTACAATTTAGCTCGTTATCTCGTTATAAGGAAACGCTATCAAAATCACCACTAACCGGCCTGTTCGTTCTTCGTTCAACTTACAATTATTCCCTGAAAGCAATATCCTTCGTCCGCACCTCTTTCCATCAGTTTATTGCTCGCCAATATCCTTCAGACATTAAATCTTCGAGGCAACAGTCTATTAGTTAGACTATCTTTGCGATATCTTGACAATTCGATATTTCCAAATGCACCGACGTCTTTCACGATATGATTACAACATATTTTAAAGTGTCTTAATTAAAGTAACTTAATTAAATTAAGAACCGATAAATCATTTTATGATACGTATAAATATATTCTCAACATATTTTAATTTATACGCCAGAATAGCGTAATTACGTCTGTTTAAAAAATTCTTTTTAAATTACCATTTCCTGTTGATAATTCCGACCAAACATAATCTACATTTATGTTTTTTAAATCACGAAACTTTATTTATCTCTACAGAAAATTACTTAAAATAGAAAACAAAATTAATTTCCTTTCCGCTAATCTAACGAACAGATAAATTTCAGATTTACTTTTGGTAGTATGAAAATTCCAACGAAAACGAATTTACACCGTAAATAATATCTCAGAATATCGGAAATCTTTACATAAATAGTTGTTATTTTCTATCGTTAACCAGTTAGCTGTTTCTGACGAGTATACTCGTCACGAAAAATTAGCGATATTTTGTGTTCTGACCAGCTCTGTCAGTAATAAAATTAAAAAATAATACAGTCATTTCGTTACAACTTAATTCTATGCTATAACAGCCACGCATACTCTGTATTTGATGAGTATACTCGCCATAGCTTACTTTTTGCGACACGTTTTACATACACAGTTTTTAAAGTTTTCAAAGAAATTGTAACATTTTTGCAAACGAACGATAACAGATAAGTACGATTATATAACTTCTATTACGCAAAGATTTCAGTCTAATGACTTTATGTAAAGTCATTGAAGCTGTCATCATTTAGTAGCAATAAACGCCACTTATCACAAATGCTGCTTGATGCTTAGTCATTTCTCGATAAAATATCGTCTATAAAGTTCTCCGTTTTCTTCCGTTTTTCTGTTGTCACGTAACCTGATTGCAACTTTCAGACGTAAACTATACTTTGTTTGCCAGTTGAGGAGCAATTCTTTTCCCTTCCCGATAGTTGAGTAATCGTAAGGAATGTTGGAAAGATTAGAAGATGGAAAGTCACGGTTACGCTAAATTCACGATGTCATAGAAATGTCGTAAATGATTACATACGAAACATTGCAATAAGACATCTACTGCTTTTAATAACTGTACGAATTGTTCCATGTTTCGAATTCTCGTTACTCTTCAGACAGAAAAGCAAAATCATCGAAAGAATGTAGAATAAAATAGTTGAATAAAATAAAATAGAATAAAATAGAATAAAATAGTTGAATAGAATAAAATAGAATAAAATAGTTGAATAGAATAAAATAGAATAAAATAGTTGAGACTGGATATTGCTCTCAGAAATGATATTACTTTTACGAGTAATATCCAATCTCTTTTTAAATTCTTCTGAAATTGAAAACTTAGAACGGTATTAAACACCCTTATGCGAAACTAATAATTCCGCAATGATTTACTTAAACTCTTGTTTCAGCGCCTTTATCAGAATAAAGATTCAATTGGATGAAGATTCGTTTAGAGCATCCAAACTAGCACTCCGTGTAATTCCATCCTTCTTCGGTTCTTTCTAGCCATCAAACTCTTTCGAAAAGATCGAAAGAAAGGAAAATTGTGAATTTCAATTGTAAAAATTCCATGGAAATAAATCCCACCCGTTTGTTCAACCTGTTTCAGGTATTCGGCGCGCAGTGTTTCGCGATATTTGGTGATATCTTAAAGGTGCCAGTGATAGGAGCGAGCTCCTCTGTCCTTTATCCATGGATCTACGAGTGCATAGCGAATCCGGAAAATTTGGCGTTCACGCCAAGCAATCTAGTTGCCTTCTCGGAAAATATGAATTTCTGGCAGAGAATGTACAATTTTGTGCACACCGTTTACACGAAATGGGAGTTCAAAGCAAAAACCGCAAAACAGACGGATATTCTAAGGAAATACGTTAGCCCTGACGCGCCCGATATCAGAGAAGTGGAGAAGAAGATATCTATGATCCTCGGTAACTCGCATATGTCGATAAATGGAATCAAGCACACTACTCCTGCGTACATCGAGGTCGGAGGATTGCACGTACGAGACGAAGGAGTCGAATTGCCGCTCGTAATTTTATTTCTTTACTTTTGTCTTTCTCTTTACGTTCTGGTTAATACGTATGATATTTAGATATATAGATAGACTCGATGTACGAATCTTCTTCTATTTACCTGTTGCGTTGCGAATCCTTTCACGGCTGATAAGAGAACTCGCTAGATTACGGAGAAAAATATTTAACAATTAGTATCTTTCCTTCTATCGGCAGTCGTTCGTATCGAAGAGATAAAGATAGTGATCGAAAGATCGTAACTATATTTCGTAGAATATCTTGAGAATCGGAAGATGTAGGAACAAATTTTCTTAAATTTAGTTACATAAAGAATTTTGAGAGAGACTCGCTTATTCAAATCAATTCAATTCAAATACTATATAAATTAAAATTTATTGGGCTCATACGATTTTAATTGCACTTAAATTTTCATTGAATATCAAGAATTTAAATGTAATATATCTAATATGTAATCAATTCATATACTGTATAATTTCGTACTATTTGAATTAAAATTTATTGAGGTCATGCAATTTTAATTGCACTTAAATTTTCATTGAATATCAGGAATTTAAATGTAGTATATCTAATATGTAATCAATTCGTATACTCTACAATTTCGTACTACTTGAATTAAAATTTATCGGGGTCATACAATTTTAATTGCGCTTAAATTTTCATTGAATATCAGGAATTTAAATGTGGTATATCTAATATGTAATCAATTCGCATACTGTATAATTTCGTACTATTTGAATTAAAATTTATTGAGGTCATGCAATTTTAATTGCACTTAAATTTTCATTGAATATTAGAAATGTAAATGTAGTATATTTAATATGTAATCAATTCGTATACTCTACAATTTCGTACTATTTGAATTAAAATTTATCGGGGTCATACAATTTTAATTGCACTTAAATTTTCATTGAATATTAGAAATTTAAATGTAGTATATCTAATATGTAATCAATTCGCATACTGTATAATTTCGTACTATTTGAATTAAAGTTTACTGAGGTCATGCAATTTTAATTGCACTTAAATTTTCATTGAATATTAGAAATTTAAATGTAGTATATCTAATATGTAATCAATTCGTATACTGTATAATTTTATACTATTTGAATTGATGCATTATAAATTTAAATTTTTTGGTGTCTTTCTTTTTTATTTTTTTGTTGGCTAGAATATTAGAATCAACTGTCACAGAGAATTTTTGGTGATATGACTTCACAAATTCGTTGATCTTTTGCAGCACGGCTATATATTTAAAAACAATCGCAACAGTAAGTGGAAATTTTAGAATAGCAATGATAATAGTTATACGCTCTGTAAAATAAAACAATGAAACGTAGTTTTCAGCAAGGTTTGCAAAATTTGATACCATACGAATTAACATTTTCGTTTGAAACATCACGAGATATAACGACATTCGAGATATTGTAATGGGAAAATTATTTTCAGAGTCTAGAGAAATGGATGAACGAGAGCACACATGGATTCGTTTATTTCTCGTTTGGCTCGATGGTGAAGATCGAATCCTTCCCACTGAAACTCCTTAACATCTTCTACAACTCTTTGAGTAAAATATCACCTGTCCGTGTTTTGATGAAAATCGCAAAATCGGACGAACTTCCGCCTGGTTTGCCGAAGAACGTTCATGTTTTGCCATGGGTGCCACAAGTCAAAGTTCTCCGTAAGTAATCATCGCTGAACGTGTTAGAAACTGAGAGAAGGAAAGTACTTAGACAGATAAGATTTGTAAGGTCCATTAAGGGTAAGACCCGTTAAGAATAAAAGTCTATTAAGATAAAGTCCATTAAAGTTCTGCAGAAATTTTAATTCGTCCATTTTTGATTTCGCCAAAAGATATTTGCAAGATTAAAAGATTATTTTACGTAGGAACAGAATTACGAATAAATATATTCGATATTAAAATTGATTGTTAAATATTCAGCTCGATGCAACGTTGCGACCAGACAAAATACGATTTCTATTTTCAATTCTATTCGTCGATTAATTCACACACGCATCTTTCATGCGACACATTTATATTCTAACGTTATTAGAATTTTATAGAATTAAAAGGTTATTTTATAGCGTATTTGATTCGATGTAAATAAGATACACGCGTCAAAGATTTCTTCTTTTCCCTCTCGTTTCCTTCCTTTAAGGATATAACATCCTACCAGCTTATTCGTTATTCATTGATGATTATCAGAGACGAAAATTTGCGTAACACGGTAGACGATTGAAGTAGATTTTTTGATAAAAGGTTTAATCGATTAGAAAGTTAATAGCGTCCTTTAAAATTTAAAGATTAAGTGCCCATACAACATTCCATCATCTGCAATTTCAATGCAGAAAATTCAATTATTTATAATAATTACTTTTAATAATTAAATAATATTCAATCTTCCATACTCTCGATACTCCATCTTTCTATATATTTCTGCTACCGAGCATCAAATAACGTACTTAACCGACTATGTATTTTCGTTTATTTCATTTAAGTTTTCATTATCATAATTCCATAAGTAATAAACCTTCGAGAGATCAAGCAAAGATTACGAAGCTTCCCTTTAACCATCGTTTTAATCTTCGTTCTAACAGGATATTTGTTTTCTTTTTTCCAGAACACAAGAATGTGAAGGCATTCATCACCCATGGAGGTCTTATGGGTACCCAGGAGGCAATTCAATACGGTGTCCCTCTGATCGGTATACCGTTGTTTGCTGATCAATTTATCAATATCAACACCTACGTCCGGCTCAATATTGCAATAGGATTAGAAGTTGACACTCTGACCGAGGAGAAAATGGATCACGCCCTGAATAGCATTTTGAACGATCCAAAATATCGGTATTTTTCCTCTTTCTAATTTTTCCCTAAACGCGTATACAAGTCACCTAATCGCGTTCATTCGTTGCTCCTATTTTAATTCTTCTATGTTCCGCTAAATTTGGCAAACATTTCGACAGACTGCTATCGCATTTTTTCTATAAAAAGTATTTTCTCTTTTTATTTTACTATTTTATCTTTGAACTATTTTATCCCTATATCAAAGAAAATCTTTCGTCATTTAGTATTATATTTTTGGCAAAAGTTATCGTGTGTCACGAGATAAGAAAATGTTAAGTAGCCTTGAGTCATGATATCGTGACGGTCTAATTACACGTCTACAAAGTTCGTCAAATGTCTGTACGCATTTCAGGGACACGGCGAAGAAGCTTTCGAGAAAATTCATGGATCGTCCGTTAAGTGCGGCGGACACCGCGATTTATTGGGTCGAATACATCATCAGACACGGTGCAAACGCGCTCAGATCACCGGCCATGGACTTGACATGGTGGCAAGTGGAACTATTGGACGTTGTAGCGTTTATTCTGATTGCCATTGTCGCCGCTCTCTATATTATAATGACCGCGATTCAGTTCGTGTTTAATTTAACGTTTAGTAACTCGGATTCCAACGAGTTACGCAAGAAAAAAATTTCTTAAGTACTTCTTTCCTTTCCTTTTTTTTCGTTTTTATTACGTTGATGACTTGAAATCTTGGTTCGTTTTTCCTCGACGAAGTCGTTGCTCCTTTTTCCATTGAAAGAGAAAAGAAAACGCGATAAAAATATTTTTCGTACTATATATATTATTTTTGACAAAAAAAAAAAAAAAAGAAAGGAAAATTCGAATAGATGTAGTACATAGAAGATTGCTTTAGTGGAGAGATAAGATCTCTTAGTGAATTGTTTACGCCCTGTAATCGTGGTTTTCGTAATTAGTCATTGGCGGTTCGACGATTAGCTGAACTCGACGTTTTATCTCGTCTCGCTATTAAAAGACAAATCCTTTTTATCAAAATGGAAATTTACTTAATCGTATTGAATTTAACGATAAAATACCAACGTACTCGTATCATCGCTCGCGTCCAGTTTTAACGATACTAGATAAATTCTTTCTAATTTTATAAAAGTGTATCAACGCGGATATATTGTTACTTAGGAAAATTTGTAAATGCAATTAAATTGTGAATTAATCCATTCCATGCGAATCGGCCAACGACAAAATATCGAATCGCAAACATTCGACTATATATATATATGTTTCTATATATACCGTATATTCATATATATATATATATATATATATATATATATGAATAGTGAAAAATACAAAAAATATGCACACAATGTATGTTTATTGCTTGTGAATTGTTAAGTGAATAGATCTAAAGATGATTAGAACATTGGCGTGAAAAATAAGGAAGATCTCTGTATCCGACGAATTAAGGTCGCAATAAGCGAAAGCCTATTATCAGTATCATTATTGTTATACTCTTACAGTAACGTAAATTAAGTAAATTAAGTAAATTAAGCAAAAAAAAGTCCTGAGAGAAAAATGATAAAGAAGAGCACGTACGTACATGTTTGCATATTCCAGTTTTTATCTTTCAAGACAATCAGATATTTTTAATAGTAACGATAATAGTTAAGTAGTAAATAGGGTTATGAAATAATCATTTTAAAATTATGTTATTATGTTTCTTCCGTTGCTCGTCATTGTACGCTGAAAGTTGTCAAGCATAAAACAAAGAACGAACGAACACATGTAAAACGATATTTTCTTGTGTTCCAAAATCATATAGAACGTGGTGTAATATTTTGAAAATCGGAAAATACTTTGTAACTCGTGGAGGGAAAGAATTTCGTGAAATATCGTTCATACTGATTTACTGAAACAAAATGTTCAATGATCGTTTCGCGTTTAATCGTTGCAAATGCGCTTGCCTCTAGATGCTGACAGTTCGTGTCAAATGCATTTTTGCCTCTCAGAATTTTCAACGTTATGAAAGAGTACGCTCGGAAAAGCAACGTCAGCCTGGAAATTTCGAAAATAGATATTTTTATCGATGATACGTGTCCCTAGTCACTACGCTTTTATCCGCTGGAATTTTCCTCTTTACACACTGTCAACTAAATACCGAGACAGGCTATATACAATTAAGCGTCAGTGAGGCATTTTATTTACTAATCGTCGAGTTTTTCAGAAAAAGTGCAAATGAAAAGAAGCAAGTTGCTCTTCCTCGTTCTTTCGGAATTTTAATTAAGAGGCAAAAATTTCAAATTTTTATTTCCTCTCGATTGTTGTAGCGTTTATTTCACTGTCAATATAAATTATTACGTGATATCGAAGAAACCGTAATAACGAAACCAACACACGTGAAGAAGTTCTTGACAACGAACTTTTCTTATCGATATCCTCGTTTATGGGAGGATGATTATACTGTCAGATGTCACGAGGTAATTGCTATAAAATATCAATCAACGATACCTTCGGAAAATAATATAAAGTAGATTAACGAGTAATTGTTATTAACGAATTGTACGACGAAGATATGGAAGATCTTATCGATCATCGTATCTTTGTTGGTATTATAAGATAACTTATTTGACTAAGACGAAAACTATTTTAGAAAGCAAATACATGGTATTAAAAAATCCAAGCTCGTATTAACAAATATTTTCCATTAGAATTATACCCAGTTCTTAACTGATATCGTTTGATCCTGGTTGATTTAAAAGGGATTACATCAGGTTACTTAATTCTAAGATTAAAAATTATCAGTGCAATTTGTTACGATGAAACTAAATTCCTAATTGGAAAAACGAAAGACCGATACCGGTCACTTCGATCATTTTATTCTCTGGTATTATCAGATCCTGAGTTTTTCCATAATTGAGCATTATACGGCTGACTGAAAAACTTATAAATGCAGCAGAATCAAGCGAAGCTCTCTCGTACGAAACAAAACACGATTGCGATTGGAAGGTAAGCCGGGTAACTCGAAAACCGTCGAGTGACTATCCGCGGCAGTTAGTTATTGCCGTAAATCCCAGCGCGTGAAGCCACAAATCACATTTGAATCGAGGTTCTACCGCACGATGAAGTCGACGTGGAAACTGTGAATCGCCTTCTCGAATGTGAATCCATCGATCGACAAACAGATGGTTCGGAAATGACGTTAGTCTTGGGAAACGTCGTTGCTCGCGAATCAACCGGAAAAAAGTCTCGAGAAGGCTGATCCGTGAGACGGGGTACGTTCGAATGACAATGTGCTATTTTCAAGGGAAAGTCTTGGTCGATCGGGCAGGAACATCGAGGCTATATACATGAGACTGGAACACAATGGCGAATATCCGGAACAAAAAACTGAAAATGAAGAGAAAGAACGAATAAATTTTCGGTCCATGAATGGGCAAATGGATGAATGATTCTTGCGTACGGATTTCGAAGATTGCTTTGTTCCTGTTGTTGATTAACAGTGGCACTATCGTGTATGCGAAAGTGACAGGTCTCGGATTTGTTGGTTTTGTCGGAATCGTTAGGAACATGCAACGTGAAACGCGAAACTGAGACATGAAACTTAGACGTAACAGCTGATTTCAACATAATCGTCCATCTATTTGTTTATAGACAAGATAGAATCATAATAATTATCCTTTGGCTGTGTTAACGCGTGTTCACACGCAACATACGTTCGATATTATATTTCGAAATTGAAGTTCCATATCATTATCTGAACAATAATTCCAACTTTCGACCTATCAGTAAGATAATGCTTATCACTCAAAAACGGTTGATATAACGCAAGGTAAGCACCGACCATTCGCATGTTTTTTAATAACTTTGCCAGAACAACGTGTGTTGTAATTACGCTTACGCAAAGTAATTAACCCGTGCTCGGTTCTGAACAGCACACGCGGTAGCTCGCAACACCTATTTACAAAAATACATACACGAACGTGAATAAGCAATTCGTGGAAGAATAATCAAATCCGCGAGTCATCCTCGATCTTGCGTCGTTCATCTCGTCCTAAGTGAAACTCGAAAAGCTGTTAACATTCTGGAACAGTTATATATTATCTTACTAACACTGAAAGTGTCATCGCTCCGTTGTATGCACATGTACAAGATCAGAGAGCAACGCGCGAGCGATATACTATATGAGTGATACCAGTATACCAATACAGATATCGTACAATACCATTCATCATTGAGTCAGTCGCAGAGTAAGAAATGATTCTGCCGCTCTCTCGAAAAAGTGCTTCGTCCTCAAACTTCGATATATTTGCGTCTCAAGTGAAAAACTTATAATAAAGTAAATAAATGTTCGATGTTAAGTCAAACGTGTTCTAGAATCTCTGTATCATAATTTCGAAACAATTTCAAGATAGTCCAAAGATATCAGTGGTTGGAGGACGAAGAATACTCGAAGAATTTCATCGAGCCACTGGGTGGTGAACGAAGAAGAAAAATTGAAAATCTGAAAGAAAGAAACGTGTAAACTCTTTTGTCGTCACGATGAGACTCTTATTACCGATATTTTTGACGATATTCGCGTGTGGTTGGTGCAGTGGCCTACGAATTCTCGGCTTGTTTCCGCTCAATGGAAAAAGTCATTGGATGATGGCGGAACGACTGATGACCAGCCTTGCGGAACGGGGCCATCAAGTGGACGTTGTTACTCATTTCCCTATGAAGAATCCACCGCCGAATTACAAGCAAATTTCTGTGCAAGGAACAATACAGTCACCGGTAAATAACGTGCACGCGATCAACGTAACGCGCATGAGAAACGTCGATGTGAAATTTATTACGGACGTAGCAGGAAAAGATCTTTGCAAGTTATTCGAACATGAACAGCTGCAAAACGTTATAAAGAAGCCCAAGGACCACTACGATATCGTCATAACAGAGGTACGTTCTAACAATTATAACATTTTATTTTGAGACACGATCTTTCGTCTTTCGGTATGTTTGTTGAATTGTATCGAATATCGAAAAGAATTGAAAAGAAACGAATTTGACTCGAAATTGCAGGAATACAGATTTTATTTATTTTATTCTTTTCTATTTATTTATCCGCTTCTATTTATTTGATTCGCCCATTCTTTTCTTTTTTTATGTTATTTTTATCGAACTTCTATTCGTAAGAAAATAGAGACTTTTTATTTTGTCTTTCTCAATACCCGAGACAGAAATAGCAGCATGAAAATTGGCAGTAAATTGGCGGTAAGTCGCAAAAAAGTGGTTCTCGATTATTATCTTATCCTGTGCAATTTAGTCTCGTTCTAGTCCGTTCTAGCGTTCATGAATGGTCGGTTGTTTCATGATTAGCGCAATAAACAACAGTGTCGAATGTAATATAACATGACTTAATTTTAACACCTTGAAAAATACACCTTGCAATTTCAATTGTCTTCTAAAATAGTATACATTTATTTACAAAATAGTATTATCTTCTACAATAATATTCATTTATTGATAAAATTGATAAAATTAAACAGATCATGACACTATTAAAGATATCGCTTATCATACGCTAATCTTATACTTCTTTATCTATAAACATTCAACGGCATACTTTACTTCCCCTTTAATTAACAGATTACGAAAAGATTCTCATGATATCATGAAATTCTTAATACACTTTAATTCGTCACATTATTCAAAGGAAGTAACTTCAAAGACGATCTAATTTATTATCACTCGAGAGAGTACAATGAGGAAGTTTTACGTAAAGCAAATTACGACACGCGTAATTACAAATCGTTTCAATTATTTAATTCGGTTCGTATGTCGTAAGAGAATGAAATAAATTAATAGTCGTAACTATCCCCGAAATTTTTGGTCTTCCTTGCCTCTGCGATAAAATTCTTTCTCTATGCTCTTATCAGAACTTTATACACGAGAGTCAATATTATCTTACCGACCAGATTTCCCAACTTTCGTTATTTTTCCAAGAAACAAATATCCAGCCATTGAAATGAAAAATACGTAATGAATTATTAAAACGATGATTTATGGATATTTGTGTATCTTCGCAAATTTACCTCTCACGTATCGGTGTCATGTCCAATATATCAGAATTGAATTAATTTGCAATGTATAATGTTTAGTTAACATAATTATCACGCGAACGTTTGAAAACGTGTTAATGCCGATGAAGTTTGATGATTCCAGGTACATACTCAATTCGATTATAATTCGGCCGTGAAATTGATTAACTGCGTTTTAGATCGCAAAACCAGCTGATCGTTATTCAACACGCATTACCATTATCCGAACCACTATAATCGACAACGCGAATATTTCATTCGTTGTTTCACGTTTACGTTGATACAACTGGAAAATAGCAAAATTTCAGTTAAATGTAACATCCAACGTTTACGTTAATAAATAATCAAAATTGATTTCACATCGAAACGATTGCTCTTAAGATCTGTATCGATTACGCTTTTTCTTTCTTTTTTTTTTTTACTCTTCTTGGTCAATACGCGATAAATCCATTAATTACCTTGTTTTTCGAAAGTCCTGTATATTCTTCTAAATGAGACATTTTCTATAGAAATCGACCATCATTCGTGAGTGCATATTAAAATTGATCTGTAATTATTACACAGTATGACGACTGGCAGTTAATTAATTATCGTAAATTTATATCTTGAATCAATAATAGTTCAGATAAGCAGCACCGATAAGAGATTAACGTAGGTTCGCTTACGACAAAGCGATAAAAGAGAATTACTTATTTTATAAGTATTTACATAATTAACTGTAGCGACAAATATCAGATAGTTTATATGTTCGTAAGTTATCTTTCAATAAAAAAAATCTGTAATTGACAGATTGCATCTTGGAAGATACGTCGTGCAGAGATAACAACCTGTCGATAGTACGACATAGAGTAGGATCTATCAATAACATCGATAACTCAGGCGCATTTGTATTACCCTGATGTTAAACAACATACACCGATAACGCGATACGAAGAACGTTAGAAACGACAGGAAGATTTGACGAAGAGGAAAGATTCATCGCGATGAAACGTGAAAGTGGAACGCTTTCACAACCAAACAAAACATGACAATTCGAACGAGAGACGACTGCAATCGTGTGCATAGCAATTATATGAAAATAAATATATAAACGTGACAGAATCGAAGCGGCACATGATCTATGAAATATCTTATCAAACATGAAATATAACTTTTTCTAGTACCTTTCGACATCGAGAACTACTAACCGTACTAAATAGTAGAATCTCTTGCGTAATATGAAAAGAATGTTCTTTCTATTGATTGATACTTCAAACTGTTCCAATTAGCGCCCCTAGACTGTTTGCGATTTATCTATGAAACTATCTTTGTGAAAAACAATTGCAAAGCAATGGTCAAAGAAATACTTTATTTATAATTCTACAAAGCTATTTCGTCTAGTCGTTTCACAACTTTTTCGTTTAAAGTTCCTATCGTATATGTCGAACATTCTGTAGAGAATATTCGTAGAGAACCAGTGTAGAGACTTAGAAACACCGAAGAAGCCAGTTTCTGACAGATTATTATTTCTGGCGAATTCCATCTGTTCTAGAACGATCGTTCGATAGTTACATAAATACGTATTTCCAACCGAATTCAAATATTATCTGCGCGGTACTGTACAATATCTCGCATTTCGTGTTAAGTTATCTTACACATGACATGGCAGAAAGTACAAGCTAAGCGTATTGTCAAAGTACTGATGCAAATATTAGCGTGGCCAAAAATATTTTTAACGATTTTAGAAAATTCTTTTATGCAAAATCTTACTTCTTTAAATTCTCCGATTCCGACAGAAATTGCGTTCTTATGCAACCATAAGCTTGCTTAGCGTTATGTAGAGTTTTAAAACGTTTCAATGCGAAACAACTAACTGTGGCGGCAATCGACAACAAATACCGCCACTCGACGCTAACTATAATACTATTGAACAACGGCAGCGCAGTGGTTAGCGCCTTAAGTTACGAACGTTCGGAACCCGAGTTCGAATCCCGGCGACCCGGAATCTGGTTTTTCTTCTACGCGTCAAAAATGGAAAAAAAACAACAGTACTACACCCTATTAGCGACATCTACAGCCAACAGCGCTACAATTATCACGGACAACACATATACACCTCGTAACTATCGTAGCCACATCTGCTTTTTGATCACTTCTGCCGCTTCTTCATAAATAGATTTCACGATTTCGTGTCGTTTGCGAAACAAATTCGTACATCAGTTCGCCGCTGTCTTTCGCGGATACAGCAGTGAGAGTGTTTCCTTCGCCGACAATTTGTAGTCTTTTACTTGAGCAACGATAAACGTGATCGAACAACGTTAAAAATCTGGTGTTTGTCAATGAGTAAATTCGTTTGATAAATGATCGTAGACCGCAGAAGGTTTGCTTGGTTATTTTATTAATTTATTTATTACTTTATCATGTATTATTTATTTGTAAGCGATTGTAAGATCGAAAAGGAAAAGTAATTTTATCGTAATCACACGACTTCGAGTTTCAGCGACGATTCGAGTCGTTAACTTTATCTGGAAGAAACTCATTAAAGGTTACAGAAGACTCGTAATTATGTTTTGTTATCGTCAGAAGAATAATTTATATACATGTGGCTATTAAACTCCGAAAATTAACTCTATTCGCGTTAATAACATAACGAGCCTCTTAGTGAATAATAAATATTCTTGATGAATATTATTGATAAATATTAATACATATCTATTCACAGTAGTTCTTATCAAAAGGTGAAAAGAATAGTAAATAAGATCAATATCTGAGGGCAACATTTTTTTTTCTTTTTATTTACACGCGTTCATACAACAATGTTTATCATTCGCAAATGTTCGATGCGAATTGGCTACAGATACCAACTATTCCCATTCTTAATCATCGCGTGTAGCTATTTTACGTGTATGTATAGTAAAGTGATTAACTTGTTCTCTGTTCTGACTGGCTGCGCTCTTCTGACCGGAAACTTGAAATACATACATGTAGAAGTACATAAATACACGGACGTGAGTAGGCACATTGCAACGCGTAACCAAATTCTCGAACTATTTCATCATCCGTCTGTTAAGATGCTATCTAATCGCAAAGCAACCTAAAGAAAATCTTCCTCTTGATATTCGTCATTCTGGCAAAGTCACGTGTTATCTCGTGGCCATTGAACAACCGTAATTCCATTATTCGCCCACGTAATCTCTCGTCATAGTATATGCGATTATTACACCGCGTATTAGTGCGTAGCGACACTCGAACTCTGTCATTCAACATCGAGTGAATCGCGGAGCAAGAAATACTTCTGCCGCTCTCTCGAGAAAGAGCTTCGTCGTTCGATATATTTACGTCTCAAATAAAAAAACTCATAATAAAATAAATAAATGTTCGATGTTAAATCAAACGTGTTCTAAGATCTCTGTATCATAATTTCGAAACAATTTCAAGATAATCCAAAGATATCAGTGGTTGGAGAACGAAGAACTTCATCGAGTCATTGGGTGATGAACGAAGAAGAGAAATTGAAAATCTGAAAGAAAGAAACGTGTAAACTCGTTTGTCGTCACGATGAGACTCTTACTACCGATATTTTTGACGATACTCGCGTGTGGTTGGTGCAGTGGCCTACGAATTCTCGGCGTGTTTCCGCTCAATGGAAAAAGTCATTGGGTGATGGCGGAACGACTGATGACGAGCCTTGCGGAACGGGGCCATCAAGTGGACATTGTTACTCATTTCCCTATGAAGAATCCACCGCCGAATTATAACCAAATTTCATTGGAAGGATCCTTACCGGCGGTGGTAAATAGCATGCACATGGAAAATATAACACGCTTTGGACGCATGAATGTAAAGAACCTAGTAAATGTGGCAGGGAATTCGGTTTGCGAATTATTGGCACATAAGGAATTGCAAGACGTTCTAAAGAGGTCTAAGGATCGGTACGACCTTGTCATAACAGAGGTGTGTTTTAGATAATAATGATGATATTTTATTTTTGAAATAGTTCATCTCATCGATAGTTTTATTTCTTAAATTATAGCGGAAAGTTTGAGTGAAAACTGCGAGGAATTGAAATGTTATTTTTGTTCATTTTTCTTGTATCTGCGTTTTTTTCTTCTTTTTTTTTTTTTAATTACATGTTTCTCTTATTTCTATTCGCTTAACACGTACGCGAGTCAGAAATGTAATATTATTACGCGACAAATTAATTTTCACTTATCATCTTGTTTAGCGTAGGCAGTATTGCCATTTATAACAACATAGTATATAATCCAGATCAATTAAAATGTTTTGTAGTAGAATATCATAAGTAAAAACGGTTGAAAGAACAAACACGCGACACTGACGTCTTATTCTAGTTCCTCGTAGTGTTTATAAATCGTCGTTTCGCCAACAGCGTGATAATTAATTTCACGCGTAATATAACGTCATTTAAGTTTAGCATCTTCGAGCGTAAACGTTACTTGCATTTCTAAACGTCTAACATATACAGCATATCATTTACCTACAGAATCATGTTATCTCCTATAGTGACATTCGTTTATCTATAAAATGACATATGTAATATTGATGAAACAACACTAAGAGAATTATCACACTGCTATCTATCATAATCTTGCGCTTCTTTTTAATAAAAAATTAACAATCGCTTCATCCTCGTTATGATAACAAATCTTCGTTACTATTTACAGGTACACGACTGAATAAAATTGTTTCTTTTCTTCTAATATTGAGTAACCTTCTTACAGTACCATCATCGTTTTTCTCAATTTTTCGCGTCGATTATCATCCTTTCAATCATAGTTATCGTTAAAGTTAGACGATAATTTGAAAATAGACCTGTAAAAAACGGACAGACTATCGAGTGAAATAACTGGAAAATACTCTCGCGAAGCGACACTTTCGCAAAACCTATTCGAATCATCGATTCGTTTCCAAACTATTCAATATGGCTAAGCAAATTTCCACAAAGTAACATCGAACGACTTTCCACGCCGTCAAGTTGCAAAAACAATCCAGCCGTTTTTCCATTAGCGGATCATCTTCGGTCCTCAACGAAAGCGGAATAGCCGACCGATCGTTCGATCTCCGATGTAAATCGTTCGCGAGTCAGACGTTCATCGCACGGAATAATACATTTTGTCACAGCCGAGCGACTATACAAGCAGTTTTAAAACAACAGTGTATATGGTTTCTCGAAACGCTAAATGTTTACAAAACGAACGACCTCGTTGATTTCAACGATGTTGAGATATATTGTCAAAGTCAACATTCGGAACAACTCTTTTTTACACATACAGAGCGTGGCTGAATAACACGTACAAGCGTGCACAAGGTGATTTTCTCGTGAAAAGATAAAAACAAAATATGGGATAAAATTTTGTCATTTAAGGTTTAGTTTTCGAGTAAAATCGAGTTTGAAAATTTATCAAGTATACTCGAACGTATACCAGGACTGGATAGTACTAATTAGTCGACGGCAGATTATTCTACGTACAAAGATAAGTCAAAAGCGTAGAATAAAAAACCGATTTTCAACTATATCGTTTCATTTCAACTATATCGTTTATATTTACAAGTGAAGGTTTATGTTTAAGTTATGTTATGTTATGTTTAAGTTATGTTATGTCAATGTTTGTGCAACTAATTATTCGACAATTGAAAAACTGAAACGATTTTATATACTCGTTCATCCCAAAACTAGAAGACTGAAACAATTCTGTATATTTCTTCCAGCTGTTCGCCGCACCATGTTACTTGGCGTTCGGCCGTCACCTAAACAAACCCGTGATTGGTATAGTCACCTCGGCTTTTCACGAATGGCTCAGCACCTTGACAGGAAATCCGAATAATCCCTCCTTTATGCCTGGCCTATTTTCGTCGTTCGGCCAGCGAATGACTTTTTGGGAGAGGCTACATAATACCTTCCTAACAAACCTAATATCATGGCAGATGAACTACTATTTGGACGAGCAGGGTGTTTATGTGAAAAAGTTCTTTAATATAGACGCTGGCATCCCGGAACTTTATCAAGATATAGCGGCTATCTTGGTCAATTCGCATCATAGCATAAACGGAGTCAGGCCGATGACTACTGGGGTCATCGAGGTCGGTGGACTACACATTAATGAAAATTCGGATCCGTTGACACCGGTGAGTAAAACATGGCTTCTTTTTCTCTTTATGTTTTCTTTTTACTCCGACCATAAACAGAAAAGGTTGAAAGCACTTTAAGGAATATTTAAAAAAAAATTGGATCGTTGGTGATGCAAACGAAATCCCATCCTGAATTTCCTACCTCACGAACATTTATTTTTCTTGAAAATATTTCGAATAGTTGATTTAACAGATATTCGTATAATGCGGTAAAGGTATTGAAAATATTGTAGAAAAAATAGATTCTTGAGGATGCAAAAAGTATTTTCAGTATTTACATACTGAATTTACTTTCCCCGATTTTTATCTTTATCGAAATATATTTCCAACGTTTGACTTAAGCAGTGGATGGGATTAGTGTGGCGGAGTGTTTATAGATAAAATAATTATTATTTTATGTGTTATATTGAAAAAAGATGTAATGTACTCCTAGATATATTTGCCAGAGACATGGAATTTGGGAAAATAGAAAATCGTGTCAACTGCTCTCAATATTATCGAGCGAGTATCGAAGATTACAATCCAAGAGATTAAAGATACACCAAATTTAAAAACTTTGTAGCTATAATCTTTCGTAAAATGTATTCGACCGAAGCTTTTCACCAGACACGGAAGAGAAAAACAGAGAAATTAAAGTACAACGACAAAGTACCTTGTCCAAAGTGCAATAATCTCGAGGTACTATTAAGATGATTGGCCAAGATTATGATGCAACGTGTAATTACCATAATGCATTCGAAGTTCTAAAAAAGACTTCGTGTCCGGTAGGCACGCAACTAGTAATCAATTCGCTACACAAGAATTATTATTTCTTCGTTCACGATGCTTAATTACTCTTTAATTCATCACCAATTGGCTACTAATTTTTCTTTTCTTAATGAGATCAAATTATTTCAATATGACGACTCGTATGTACCCTGACAAACGATTACCATGGAAAAGTTTTATGTGTATATTCTACGGTATGAAAGATATCTCGGAATTTCATTGGCACTGTAACGAAACACGAGTATCACGATTATATCGATAAAATTTGAAACCAACACGAAAATGTATATAGAAAGTGCAAGATATTTATTGCAAACATGTAACCAATAAAAAATTCGTATACGTCCGAATCTTAAGCTTATAAAAAGCTTCAAATTAGTATGGCAACACTGAATATCAAAGTTTATTAATATAACAGATATTTGAAGTGCAAATCTACTTTTGTGATTTCTGTGGAACACCATATACTCATACTGTAATTTTTATACGTATTTCCAGATTGGTTTCGCCAATTCTACCAATATAATCATAATAGTCTCATAGTGCCATGATCTCATAGTGACAATCGAAACGTTTCGAATGGCACGCATAGTATATTCATAAAAGACGTCCACGGATGTTCGAATACTTTTATGAGCCTGTGAAAAAGTGAAAAATTCCTCGCAATCCGCGCCAAAAAAAGGTACATCTTCATACATTTATCTTGAACCAACAGGAGCTGAAGAAATGGCTAGACGAAAGTACACACGGTTGCATATTCTTCACGTTTGGATCGATGGTGAGGATCGAGACGTTCCCTAAACCTCTTCTCGAAACTTTCTACAAAGTTTTCGAGAGAATCGCACCTGTTCGAGTGCTCATGAAGGTGGCGCAAAAGAAGGACCTGTTACCTGGATTGCCAAAGAACGTGATGATACAATCCTGGTTCCCTCAAGCGACTGTGTTCAGTGAGTAATTTAATAAATTGAATTTTTTATTCCTTTAGTATATTTTTAATTCTTTTAGTATAATGATCGTATATACGCTCGCAAATATTAAATAAACATTTGTTAAATAGTAAGATACATATGTACATATGTATGTCGTCAATGACATGGAATGATTTTTATGTTCGTGTATTCGCGTTGCATATTTTCCTTATTAACGAAAATTGCATCGACTCGCGTGCCAAAAACGCTCGATTATTATATCGTATGGAAATAAAAATTTTGATCAAATTCAGCGATATCGTAAATTTAATTAAAATACTTCGAGTATAAAATTTCCTGCTGTAGTTACGCGGCTAATTTTATTTTGTTATATAAAAATAGATATTTGGATCGAACCTGATCACCTATCGATAGTGTCATCGCGAACGAGTCGATAGTCATCAATCTCGTGGACGATGTTTTCGAAAAAGCATCGAAAAGATCGCCATATTTTATTACCACCAAAATCGTCGCGTGTAATCATTTTAAAGATCGCGCATATATTTCTCGATTTTGGAAACTGCCGTATATACGATAATTAGACGAGAAGAGAATAACATCTCGTTTTCTTCAATTTCAGAGCACAAAAACGTAAAGGCGTTCATAACGCACGGAGGTCTAATGGGTACGCTAGAAGCGATCTACTTTGGCATCCCCATGATTGGAATTCCTCTGTTCGGTGATCAGATCACGAATATGAGAAACGCAGCTAGTAAAAATATTGCCGTGAACCTTGGCTCTGTGGAGAATATCACAGAGGAGAACCTTTACAATGCGATTGATACGATCTTGCACGATGAAACGTATAGGTAAGTACGCGTGCTTTTATCAGTAATTTCGAATGTTTACTATACTTGTAACGTGCAACGTGATTAGAGAACGACGTTAACAAGTTTAAACACAAAATGACCGTATACCGAAGAAAAGTTGTAAATTTATTTCCATATTCTTCTGCGTATTTCTAATAACGTTTGATTATTTTTTATCGATTTTTCAAATAAAGATTTCTTTAATTTCAATCGTATAAAGAGTTAAGTATTTTAATATATCTAACGTTGGACAATACGCACTAAAAAATGAGATCTATAAATCTGAAGGTGAAACGTGTACGATAGAAAGGATTGAAATCTTCTTACCAATTTCATGACACTGTTTTTTGATTTATCTTATACTTCTAATAACATTTGATCGACCTTAATGGATTTTAACATGAGTTTCTTAAATCTCAATTAATCGAACAACCTTACTGTAATTTCGTTATATCGTTCTCTGGTATCTCACTATTTTTGTATACACGTCTAATGCTTTTGTTCTTAGCTATTTGCACGACTGCAGAATTTATTTTTGAAGATTCCAGCAGTTACCGAACTTCACGCTGAACTTTCTCAATTTCGAAACTTCACATACGCAAACATCGGTTCCAAAGATTTTCCCAAGTTAGAAGACGCGAGATTCACAAATTCACAGCTGTTCAAACTTTAAATTTACATAACTACACGCACATATCCTAATTTCTCAGCTTCTTATTTACTACCATCTAACTTCCTATACGTTTCTCACCCTTTCCTTCCATCCTTTCCATTTCCATATTTTTCACTATGCAACACCTCTTTCTTACATATCTTCCTACTTTGCGTTCATCATTTTTCGTCTACTTCTTCGTCGTTCGTAGCCTTTTATTATCATCTTCTCCTAACCCTTAAAAATTTGTTCCCCGTAACTGTGCCTCGCTATTGCAGTTCTATGCTCGCCATTTATTTCTACCCTTCCTCCTCTTGCCGTAACTACCCCCTTTTTACTGTCTATTTTGTAGTTCCTTCCTTTGCAATAATTACCTCTCATCGTTGCCAATTTATGGCTCGCCGTGCCATTTCGTTTTACCTATTGTTCCTCGTCTTATCATCTTCAACTATTACAATTTTACAGTTTCTTTCCTTATCACAATTATCCCTTGTTAGCGTAATTTTATCGTTTGAGCCACTCGGAAGTGAAATTGGAAAATATAGAGAAACATTCATTTTCACGGCATTACTTTGTAGATTTCGTTTGGAAATTGACAATTCTTGCGATTAATCAGTTTACCGAAATATGTCGCGTCGAGAAATGAAATTCTCGAAAATTACATCGATGCTAACAACGATTAAATCTTCGAAATTGATGTGATAAAAACGAAGCCTCCAAAGTAATTTCCACGTTCCTCATCTTTGTCTTACTTCTCGCTTCTATTCGTACCACGAATTTATAAATTTAGTGTCACAGGGTATATCTCCCTTAAATTTTTACCAACATTCGCAGCGAATTTTTCCAGCAACGTCCACCTTACGGTTCTCTCTCTTTCGCCGCTGTTCTCCGCCAAAAATATCACGTTTCCCTACGTCATTTTCTTCTAATACCTTCGATTTACGAATTTTCAGATCGAGCATGCAAACAGTATCGAAGATATTCAAAGACAGACCCATGAGCGCCATAGACACCGCTATCTATTGGGTCGAGTACGTTGCTAGAAACGGATTCGCTCTGCAATCACCGGCTATCCATCTTAACTGGTGGCAACAGAATTTGATCGACGTTTACGGTTTCCTACTCGTCTGTCTGCTGGTTGTTCTCTATGTCACCGTTCTTCTGGTTAAAAAACTGAAGAACTGTATATTTGGATGTAAACCTTGTATAGAAAAGCAAACTTCTGAGTCGAAAAAGAAGAAATAAATTGCCTTAACGCGTGAGTGTGTGTAGGTGTGAATGTGTGAATCTTCTTACGCGTCGTTTATACCGTAACTATTTTGTACATTCAATTCGATTTGCCTTTCTCAAGAGATCTTCCATAACAGTTATACATCTGTGTAATTTTTGTAAAATATTAAAATATCGTTCAGATATATATAAATATGTACATATATATATTTTACCGTAATAATTATATTATTTCTACTTGCACTATATTATTAATTAATAATTAGACGCGTTGGCTTGGATTGTTTTTGATTTATATCTTGCCCCCCCTAAAATGATACGGATATTTTTAATTGTAATTCTTTTTAAATGGCGAGGAGAAAGGAAAATTTTTGATTTCAAAAAATTTTCCCTTAAAGTGTACTGGATTCGCTGATCAACCGTATCGTGAAAATCGCCCGAGTACGAACGATTAGGAAAATATCCACAAATTTACTGCTTTACATTACTCGAGAAAATGTCGCGATCGTCTAAAAATATGCGCTGTTTTAGAATGTTCGCTTTCCTTTTACGTCGCATAGGGCTCGGATGTCGTAGACTCGCGAACACGTCGGATAAAGTTAAAAATATATTCCGCGCTTAAACAAAGAAAACACGAAAATAACATTTCGAGTGTTGACCTGGGTTTATCACGTTGCCGCACGCGACAAATTTCAATAAACCTTGTCAACTTGAAATTCGCGTTCTCAGTGAGCGGCGCGTGCAAGAATTTGCGTTTTTATATTGGGATTATTCCCGTGATTTTTAATTTATCGCCAGAAAATCCGATAGTACCGCAATTTGACTTAATGAGTTCTCAGAGGCGAATGTTTCAAGGATGAAATGTATATCGCCAAGTAACCAAACACGAATGAATCCTACCTGGTGGTGGCGTGGAATTCATGGCCTGCAACTGCAAACATTCCAGCTCCCTTTCCTGCAAAATACGCCGAAGCTCCTCGTCCAAAAGGGTAGTGCCTACGGTCGTATTCACTGGCATCTACAACGAAGCAATTTCTTAATGATTCGTAATCTACTTCTTCGTTGAATTTCATTCTTTCACGGTGCAACGAACACGCGAACGATTCGCGAGCTTCTTGTATTTCTGACGTCGGATATACGTACGTAAAAACACGTAAATACTATCAGTTTTTCGTGGGCAATAAATTTCAATAATTACGTGATATGCATATGTACAATAATATGTAAGATTTAGAATATTATACTTTTCTTTTATGCTACACATGTGCAAGGGTTAAAGCGAATGAGATAGAAAATAAGCACGTGAAAGTAACTACAACGCGATCGAGTTTTACGTGATTTCAAATTGGTAAATATAATTTGATCGAAATGCTTGAGAGATGATGCTTCAAATAAAGTACCGTGCTATTTGATTTGTAATTATCTTGGAAGTTGTTTCGACAAACAAATACACTTTCCCGTAAATTATTTTATTGCCCGACTATCAAACGAATATCTCCTTTGATTTCGTTTGTTTAAATAAACATTTGGCGAGATAATTTCTCAGATAATTTCTAACTCCGTTATGTGAACTGCGTCAGAAGTACAAATTTCGTCATTCGCACAAGCGTAACATACACAGCTATCATTCGAGGATGATCGAGAACAGTTCTGAGAATAAATCTTATTGCGTTGTAAAATAATCTACGTTTGTCCTTTAAAGTATAACGTTGAAAGTTAGTTGAAAGCGTTAATTCGAGAGAAAAGACATTATTTGAGAATGATTTCGATACGGAAGGTCCTTCGCGTAAATTATTTTTTATTCATGATTAAAAGCGACACGTTGTTTCACCCTGTTATATCTTATTTTTATCTCGAATAAAATTCATCTAGTTATTATTTATATTTATAGTTTAGTCATTTTAACGCATTAGCGAATTGTTAAGACGTAATTTCAAACTTAGATAAACTTCCGTTCCATCAACTATCGTAATTTCTACATCACGTACATTATGTGCATTGTTGCGCCTTGACATTTTTCATAAATGCATAAAAATTCATCGTTCGCGCACTATAAATCAAAGAGAAAATTGTTACCGGAAGCCTGGAGAATCTGTTAATCAAGATGGGACAAGCAAATCGTGTCTTCTGCCCAAGATTAACGATGCGCGTTTCCCGAGCAGCTCGATCAATGTCGACAATAAAAAAGGCGATGAAAATTCTCGATGATAAAAAAAAAGTTGCAAATTTCTTGGGAAATTGTGATATCCCAACCTGACGTAATTAAAATAATACGTATTTCGTGCGACTAATCACGACCCACTTGTCATTCGATGATATTCAACAATGGCATTTCACGATTAAATATGTCGATAAACGTCTGGGCATATTTTACAATGTCGATGCGGCGGTGATAATTAAATTTCGTATAATTCAAACGTGAAATTGGAATAGAATATCAATCAACGTAGAAGCTTTCACGATTTCTGAATAGAGATCGTTTCAACCGATATACCATGGCTGTAACGAGTTCATTGGCGAAGCGAGTTATTGCGTTCATTCTGACGACAGAGCAGGAAACAATAAGTTGGTTTTGCAACGCAACCAGATTCGATTCCGCAGAGAAATCGCGTCTGCTTATCGTTTCTTTGATAGATCTATCGCGAACCAACCTACGTAGATGCGGATCCTGCTCGTTGTTATTTAATTAACTAAAACTTAATATTATTTTAATAGAAATGGATATTTAATGTTTTAACATTGAAATTTCTGAAAGGCGTATTCGTTCGTTGATTAAAATAACTTGCAATTATCGGAGGATAATATTTCTGAAGAAGAGAAAACGAAATAAATTGTCGAACGACGTAACGTTTATCGAATACAATTTTGGTTGACATTGATCCTCTTATTAAAGCGAGAAATGAAGTAAAATCAATAATTTTATAGCCGAGCGCAGTGATTACACATTCCTCGAGTCCATTGAAGAACTTTAAATATGAAACTCGTAACGAGCGATGATGTGTGGTAAAGAAAAGCAAAGAACGAACAAAGTGTTTATCGACATTGATCGATCATGTTTAACGCGACTAAACATCAGAATTCTACGCTAAACATACAACTTCATAATTCGTTATTTTCCACGTCGATTCACTCTGTTGCACGTTTCTTTTCCATTTTAATGATTCGGATACTTGCGAATAAGACGCTCTCAGTCTCGCCTCTATTCATCATGGCATAGATAGAAATAAATGTAACAATATTAGTAAAAGAAGGTTAATTTCTGCGTGAAATGTTAGAAAGCATAATTAATAATAAAGTAAAATTAGCCACTCTCAATCTCGCCTCTATTCATCATAGCATAGATAGAAATAATTGTAACAAGATTAGTAAAAGAAGGTTAATTTCTGCGTGAAATGTTAGAAAGCATAATTAATAATAAAGTAAAATTAGCCACGGTAAATTCGTAACAGTTGATCCGCATTGGTCAATAAAGAGAAGGAAATTAATCATTGCGTTAGTAATGAAAACAGAAGTTGCTTGTCATTCTGTTTAGTGAAAAAGTAGAGAGAAGAGTATTAACGAAGTTCACGGAAAGCAAAAGAAAACTAATATCGAAGAAATGAATTACCGTTTAATCCGTAACAGCGGCTCACTTAAATATCCCGTGAACGTAAGGCACGCGTGCAAAGAATTGAAACTAGAAAAAGAAACAAAGCGAAGAAATTAAAAAGAGAACGCTGTCGAACTGAACAGCGGACACGAACCGGCTCTCTACATCCACGTTCATAATCGATCTTTTCTTCAGCCCGATCCCTAAATCACAGTTTCAGAATTTCTAACGAGAATTCGATTTCCTTCCAAAGCAAACAGAAACGTTAGTACTTGATGTGCGCTTTGAACGAAATTTGATGGCTGTTACCATTTCCACGTTTCGCTCTTTCTTTATAATCGCTCAACCAACTCGACGATCTTTGCTTCCACCGTGCGAAATATTAGTTTCGAGAATAAATCATCAATAACGACGAATCGCTGGTTTCTGCTAGATTTAATGAATTTTCCTGACAACTATACAGAGCGATTCGCGTAAGCGTCCCAGTTGAAGTTAGACAAAAAATGACAAAGAAAAAAGATAAATGACGTAGAGAAATCCATTTTTCTACGCTTTGACATTTTTCGTAAATACAACGATGCACAAAAGAAAAGTAAAAACGCATGTACATCTTCTTTTTAAAGTTCTAATTTAAGTTACTATGGTACGTCGTTTGTTATAGAAATTTTCTGTTTCTCTATTTTTTCATCGGGCGATTTCGCGTTTCTAACGCAGACGTGGATTCTGCCTATAATAGCGGTTTCACGTGAAACACATCGGGGAATGCCATCCTGTTAAAGCAGTTCCAAAGGACTTGCGGACTATGCATCGCTCTTCATTTACATGGCAAAATAGAGGGCGAAGCGCTTCGCGAAACTTGCTCGGCCACGAAAATTGAATAGCAAGTTCCGCAAGTTCTCGCCTCTTGCTTCGCCTCCATCCCAATTTCGATACACTCGATCGGGGACCACTTTTCCCCACGAAAGTTTCCGTACAGAGGAAAGAAGAACGACGACTCGCGGGACCAGTTTGTAAAAGGATAACGCTCTTGGTCCTGGAATATTTTGCCTGCTGCGACAAACAGGCGGAATTTAACTGGTGAACATTTGGAATTTGTTGCTCCTCAGAAGTAGGTAGCTTAAGGTGTTTGCATACTTAGCAAAGAGATGAGTTTTCGACGTTTGTTTAAAATCTCGTATTCGATAGGAATCGATGAAATTGACAATTTCGTTTGCAGATGAAGGAATTTCCCCGTTTTACAACTTTGCCAATTTTAACGTTTAATTTTGGAAGTTCAGTTAAGTGGATGAAACGAATACATAGGTTCCATTTCTTCGTGTTAGAAAAATATTAATTTGCAGAAATATTTACAGTCTACTAATTACTTATCGTAATGATTAACACGAGATAAGCGAGTACTTATAAAAAAGAAATGAAAGAATATTCCTCAGTCGTTCGATTTTAAAGAAATATATCTACGTGTTCATCTAACTTCCACCGTAATTAATTTCATTGATTTCGACATAATCGTGTAACGAGCCGTGAATGGTAATTTAATGCAGCTTTATGCTCTAATGTAGCTTTCAATTCGAATAGAGAAATGCTACTTGCTTGGCGAGACAAAAGGGACAAGGAGGAAGAAACCTTTAGTGTGTTTAACAAACAAAAGAACATTTCACTCGAAATGGAAGAAGATTCTTAACCAACGAAACTCGCTTTCCGCTCAAACTGCGTCTGAAAGGGAATTTCGAATCCCTTAAGTTCCCAGCTGAACACCTTGGTAATTAAAACGCAAAAGCGTCGTTGAAACTGACTTAACGCCTTTCTTATTTATCATTGTCACTCTCAAATAGTATTTATTTCATTCGATCTATAATAGAAACGATCGATGCAAGAGATTGATTGGATTTAACGAGATTGACAAATTTTCATTGCGCTTTACCTCGGCACAACATTTTTATCAAATCGCGTGTCACAAAAACGAAGATGGTTCGAGAACGACAATAACATACGATAGCAATTTCGAAGAAACGATCTTTAAGGATAGAACGATTTGCATGGCGAAAAAAGTAGCGAGATAAATTGTTACAGCGTAGGAGTTGCACAAAAGAGTTGCTGAATGTTCGCCTTGAACGTACTATAGTTTTCGTTTTTGCACTTGCACGCCACATGCGTCCCAATTTTGCTATTATATCCGCGGTAATACGCTAGTAAGTCGCCGTAGGGCATATTGTAATTAACTACTCGTCAACATTTTGCATAATGGCATTGAAAGTTGCTGAAATTTTATCGAGAGATCAAAGATAAATGTTAATAAATGGTAATCACAGATTCGTTATTTTAACACTCAACTATTTCTCTTTACGAAAGAAACTCGTATCATCGAAGAAAATATGTTTTAGCTGGAAAGAGATTTCGATGTTAGACGCGTGTACTTCGTAAAACTATCCGTAAGAAAAAATGTAGATTGGACGTACGTGTTTGTAGATTCGTTGGTTCTAAAAAGTAATTAATTTCGGCCCACGTATGACTGAGAATCGAATCACTATTCAATGGAAACGAAAGCGCATCCCGTACTACTTTGTCAGACCGGTAACAGATTATTTTACTAAAATTCAGTATCGTTCTTGCAGCGTATAAATTTCTTAGCGGAAACTCGCGAATCATTAACTTGCAACGAATACACGTATACGCTATACACCGTATCAACCGTGAAAAACATGCTACTACATTCGTTCAGCTGAACGACGACGAATAGTAAACATTTCTGCGTTTCAGTTTCATCCGACAACCACGTCAGATAGACGCACACCGTACTTAGTATGGCACGCTCGATAGATTCAAATCGTCGGGACGTACAAATTGACCGTACGATTGGATGTTGGCAAATCGTCGGATAAGTGATATCGTGGAATTTCCAACACCTAGAAACCGACTATCACGATACGCATGTATTTCCGCAGTGACAACTTCAAATTTCATCTACTCGATAGAATCGTGCTTGACAAATCGAACGCCTCTCGTGAATTTTTCTGTAGGATAACTGAAACACAGTTTTACCTTCTCTTCCCTTAAATGTTTACCTGTGTTAACGCTAGAAATAGACAAATTTCCATGTTCGTATACGCACCGGAAGTAAATCCGGATTATAATCGATATGAGATGGCGATTAAACGGGATGCGACTAAACGAGCATGCGTTCCTATTTTAAAATCTCTCTATTTTAATCAAAGACGACGTTGAACTCGTCACAAGCATCGGCATAATTCTAGTAACTGTAAGAATATCGAAACTCTTCGTTTGAACTAGTTCGAGACGAGCCAGTCATTTCATTCGGTGTAAAATTGCAAAGTCGTAACAAACGAGTTGACAAACCCATCGGTTTACTGATATCGTCAGTGTAACATCGTAGAATTAAAAATTTATAAAAAAAACGCGTCTTATAAATTACGGCTTGTTATTATGCAAAGAGATCCAAATATAGGAATATTTACGGACAATAACGTACGTGTGAAGATTGAATTTAGAAGGAGTGCGAGACGCGCGTAGCATAATTGCAGCGTCGAGGCTCGATATCGGTAGAAAATGAAATTACACGGAGTGTGATTTAACAAAACCTGCTTCGTAGTTTTGCGCGCGATCCACGTGATCGATTCTGCTCTCACGTCCAGTGGAATTACGTTATCGATTCCCGGCATTCGCGTGTCACGCAAACGTCATACACACGACCACCGTATGCATTTACGTCGAAGCCGATGCAGCCGTATCAGGAGTCCGGTTTCATCTGATTTCCCACTGTGACTACAAAAGCAGACGAACCACCCTGTTGACTGCATCCTGTTTTCCCCGGCGCCGATCGAATCGCCACGCTATCCCTTCAGCGCCATGCCCTATAATCACTGTAGCTCGCGCACGCATTTTCAGATCCAACGATAAAACAATTCGTACAGGATGTTTCGCAATATTTCCGTACAATACGTACGAAGGAAGATTCGATAGGGACGTTACGAAGCTCGGCTATCGAGCTGCAAATCCACACATTTCCATGTCGTTTAGCGTTTTGTTAAAGTCGAAACGTCCCGGCGAATTTTAACGCTGCAACTACCAAAATGACGCGGAATCTCGGATTTTCTTTCTTTACAATTACTGGAAATATTAGCTTGTCCGAACAGCGTCTTCCTTTCGCAAACGTGTCTTTTACGACAGTGCACATTTATACAAACGTGAAACCAAGTCTGTGAAATGTCGCGGTGTTTACCTCAACGGAACAAAATGGATCATACGTAATTCGACAAGATAATATAAAACAAAAAACCTTGTACGTTTATTATTTCCTCACAAAACGGAAGAAACTTTCCGGACAACTTAATATGTACAGATATTTTCGCCAGAATTAAAATTGATTTTTATTTAGACAGAGACATAATTATATAGATTTATCTACTTTAACTTTAATAATATCATCTGAGTTAATAATAATAATATATGAACGCGCGTAGCATAATATACAAACTTATGACTATCGCGTTGTGTTTTAGTCAACACAGGTGTAATATTCCGTTTACGAGAAACTTATTACCATATGCCCTATTTCTAAGCTTATGTTCTATTCATGTAGGCAAAACGCCCCTGTTTTTAATGCGATTCGAACGCAGCAGTAAATCGATTTGGTTTGTTGTTCGTTTAAATTTCGTAAAAACCGCGGGTAAGGTCCTCTGATATGGCGTCTGCAAGCTCGTTACCGAACGCAGCTGAACAGAAAACGTTACGCATTTTCCAACTCCTGATCACTGCAGATCGAGCATTGATCGGTTTTGTTGATCCTAAAAAAACATGTTCTTTTTGTTGCTCGGAAACAGCATCTAGCAATCTGTTTTGCCAATCTGAGTCGAACTATCGTATTCTGATAACGTGTATCGATAACGTTGACTGTATATGCATAGTTCTGGCGTACAAAAGTTTCTAAGTTTTCCATGTCTTTGTAGAAGGAAATATCGTTTGAATTATATCGATTTATATACGAAACATTTAGATACGTATTACAGACTGATAATTACAGTATTAAAGACAAAGTTTGTTAAATATACTAAAATGTAACAACGTAATAATAATATACAGTAGCTGCAAAAAGTATCGACGCTCCGTTTTATTTATTATAACGTGTTCAAAAATCTCGATTAATTAGATCGAAAGATATTAAAAGTAGAAGTTAAGCGATCGTGAATCCCTAAACTACGCGACAGATAAAAACACGTCGATTATCTAACTCGTACGTTATCTCTGGTAGCATTTTGTTTATCTTTCATGAGCTGTTAATCGTCTAGTTTTATCCTCGAAGGAACAACGTGAAGCTTCAACAAACTGCCGTTGTTGATGCACGCTAAGTACATCAATTACATCGTAAGACGTGAAATCCCTAACGCTACGTGTTTTTGCAATGTCTACATCGACTCCGGCGTTATCTCGGTAACCCAAAACGGACAGACCATTAATCTTCTCGTTTGTGAAGTTTTGTCGACGAGCTCTATCGATTTGCGTTCCATTTCCTACATATTTTTGCATTCTATTTGCTAATTTGTATAAACTGTATCGAATAAAATACGATAGAATTTCGTTGGAAAATTAGTGAGTTACATGCCAACACGACTAAGATGTTCTCTGTTAATTTTATACATTAAAAAATAAATATCTTCTTACATATGTCCTACATATTTCTACATTCTATTACTAAATTGTATAGACTGTAATTGAATAAAATACGACAGAATTTCGTTGGAAAATTAGTGAGTTACATGCCAACACGACTAAGATGTTCTCTGTTAATTTTATATATTAAAAAATAAATATGTTGTTACATATGTCCTATATATTTCTACATTCTATTTGCTAAATTGTATAAACTGTATCGAATAGAATACGATAGAAGTTCGTTAGAAGTTTAGTGCGTTACATGCCAAGACTATTAAGACGTTCTCTATTAATTTTATACATTAAAAAATAAACATGTTATTACATATATTACTTTATATATACAGGGTGGTTGGTAACTGGTGGTACAAGCGGAAAGGGGGTCATTCTACGCGAAAAAAGAAGTCGAAAATATAGAATAAACATTTAAAAATTTAAAAATTTGAAAATTTGAAAATTTAAAAATTTGAAAATTTGAAAATTTAAAAATTTAAAAATTTAAAAATTTAAAAATTTAAAAATTTAAAAATTTAAATAATTAAAAAAGTAACGTCAATTGAGACAAAGATCTACAGTGAGACCCGTTATAACGAGACGCGATAAAGTGCGCGCGTACCGAGCCAAAATTCAAAGTCGATTTTCTCGAAAACAAAGCCTCGAACGAAAAATTTTTATTCTATATTTTCGACTTCTTTTTTCGCATAGATTCACCCCCTTTCCGCTTGTACCACCAGTTACCAACCATCCTGTATAATCGTTTATATGAAAATGTTTAATGCTTTATAAGTGATGGTATATTTTGGAATAAAATACAGCAAAGATTAGGGAGCATCTTGAGAATTTAATGTACGAAATTTAATGTTCATGACTTGCGTCACTAAATTTTATCGATAAAGTTGAAAATAATTATCAACGAAATATCTGTGTAACGATGAAAATGTAAAAATCAAAATATAAATACTGTCCGATATTTTTATGCCGCTTTGAAAATCCTAGAAATTTGTTCTCCCTGTCGGAATTTACATATCCATCAATAACGATGATCGTCCCAATTTTTCAGAGGCGGCGGTAATCGAATCGAGAAGCAACAGATGCCACGTATAACCTGTTGCCATTTGCATGCTTGTCCAAACATTCGGTTTAGCAATGATGCACTCTGACCCGAATGAAATTGATGTTGGTGCCCTCTAAAACCACGGGGTTTTCGTTGCTGTTTCCACTTTGCAACGCCTATACATCAGCGTCTTGCGTGCAAATTTATCATTGCAACCGCAGCTTAACAAGTTGAAAAATTAATTTCAGTCGATACGCGATGAAGCGACTCGATATATTATTTTGTACATTCTCAGGTATCTTACGCAAAAGGTAACGCGTGAGACGAGATCTGAGTATAATTTTGATACAATGAAATTGCACGAAAATTCTAATTTGTTTGGATGTATTTTAACACTAATCGATAAATAAACAATATCAGAATAACGACAAGTTACGCAATTTTATATTTCTATTATTACGTAATTGCTTTCTCTCGCTCATATACAGCCACTGTTCTATTTGAACAAACTAATTAAAACAATTTTAATGCACTGCCTCTAGATCGTAGCATCTTAATTTCATAGTTTCTGCAACAGCGCCGCAAACACTTTAATTAAAATTTTTCGAATTCCATGCATACTAAAATAGGTAGGGAAATGTACGTAGCATGTGAAACAAATTTTGGCGGTAATCCAAATGTTTGATGAATTTTAACACAATACATGGATGCTAACAGATGCTCCTCTTACTACGACAAATACCAAAATTAATTCCCTCTAAGCTCTTTGAACTAGTCTCTCTGTTGTATTAAAGCTTTTATCCTCTAACTGATATTCCATTTAGAACCCCTTCTACTTATGCAATTTAAGGCCTCACAAACACTCATTGCCTCTTTAGGAAAATAATCACAGTTGATGAACTGTATTCCCTGTATAATACAGTTCCCCTTAACATCATTTCGTATCTAATACTTAATATCTAAAGTTATCTCTAAACTAGTATATTTAGAGGTCTGAAATATTATTATATTTTAATATAACAATCGTTTCGACCAGTTCATAACTCTTCATAGGAATTTTATAGATTCAGAAGGGTGAGTTCTTGCCAATTTAAATGATCTCTAATTAAGTATGAAAGACCGATCTTCTTTATTGCGTATCTTCTCTACTTTTCACTTTCTTACAATTCTTCTACTTTCCTATAATTGTCATACGTCGGTTTCAAGTTTGTTATACAGAGTATTTTAATATTTAACGCATTTCCCAAAACATTCAGAGTATCTTTGTCGTGCAAGCGATTAATCCGTCGAGCCGATGATCAGATATACTTCACTCGGTCGTAGTTCTAACGTTGCAACGAATTCCAGAACTAAAATTAGATCGGCAATGGAAAGTAGACAGGAGGTGTAGTTTTACTCGCCAGTAACATAATACAACGTCAACATCGGATTACAAACAAAAGTATCTGGTTAGCAGAGAGACCATAAAGCACGGAGCTTTTTGACGAGAATGATCATTAGCGAAACACGACACCGCATTCCGAGCGACGCTCATTTCCACCAGCGAAATTTCGCCACTGAATTGGTACGGTGAAAAACGAGCAAAGGGAAAACCTATGGAACATCCGCGATTCTCCGGATGTCTACATCGATGATACGAAGTTAGAACGTCACTTCGTTGTTGGCTCATGACGAATTATCGCAGAAAGAGCCAAACGTCTGTCAGGCGTCTCCCTTCGATACGAGTTTCCGTGATATTCGTTGGGTCGGAAAATAACGAGGAGAAAAAATCGAGTGTCGAGAAAATGTGAGAAACCTTCGCTCTTACTCGTAATCAAAAATTACGCAAATATTCCTCGATCTGGCTCAGGAACGAACGATAACGACTATCCATTAGAGATATCCTCTTCAAACTCAATTATAATCGTGTTTTTATCCCGGCTCAATGTCTCTCGATTGCCGGCGATTTTCGAACAAGAACGTCGTCCATAACCCACAATGAAATTCCATTACGCCGAGCAAAGTAAGCTTCGTCGTTTCACCCTTCCTTTTGTCCGCAGGATCTCGGACATCCAACATCCATATTCCTATAACCTTCGAGTTTCCTTGTACGTAAATTCTCTGGATAGCTGTCATTCTTCAACGCGTTTGTTGATTCGACGCGTTGATTGCCATCGACGATCTAGGTTATCAAATTTTCTAGAACCGTTGCAACGAGATAGATTTCATGGACTAGAAAAGTTTCGGCATTTCACGGATTAGAAATAGCGAAATAACGTATTTTGCAACATTTAAATGTTCCGTAATGTAAATGTAACGAGATCGTAATGAGAAATTAATATGTATGAAATTGTATTGGATGCGAATGGAAATCAGTGGACGTGTGAAGATGTGGTTGCCAATGAGCTGCAGGTTTATCGTACGATTCTAACACGTAATATGTAAAATAGTACATAGTACGCGGATTTCTATGCATCTATAGGAAATTTATATGTCTACGATTTGCATATGTAAATATACAAAAATGTATAAAATCTTCAAGATTCTTTTACCGTCTTGGTTACGTGATTCGACCGTACAAGCATTTTAACGACGCTCGTTCCACGATAGCAACGTCACTGTTGTTGTTTCAGTCGGGATTTTTATCGATTAATTATCACGAATTTGGTTGAGTTACACTGCCTTCGTTGTGGATTTTGGACATCAAAGCAGAGGGTGGTATGATGGATTAATACTTCGATACTCGTGTCACCCATATTTCATGACACGCGATATGCGAGTTTTTATGGATGTTCCATCATTTACGGATGAAGGACGAATTTAATATACGTCTCTCGCCTTTAATGGAAGGTGCATTTAATGGAAGGATTAATACGATCAGGTGAGAATTAATCAATCGTTATACAATGTGTACTTACGAATGAATGGCAAACGTCGTAATGACCGATAGAGAATAATTATTTTTAATCTTGGAATTGTAAAATGCAACGATCTTTCTCCGAAGAATAAGGAATAAGATATCAAATTTGTTTGTATTAAATTCGAGGAATAACATCTAGACTTTATTAAACTTGATAAGCAAAAGGAGAACTCGTCTCTTATTCGAGACGTACGCGATTTCCCAGCAAAGGGACAGGAAAGTATAATTCGTACGCGACAGTAGCGAAGAGACAGGAGAGACACGCGCACACACTTACAACTCATCACTCCGCTGACAGAATCAATTTTCTCCTTCCGAGATGTTTTCCACAAAGAAGAACGCGAATCTTTTGCGCGCGCTTCTGCTCATTCACTTTGCCAGAGAGTTTAAAGAACGCGATACCGGTTAAGCTCGCATGTTTCCAAGGAACACTTGCGCGATATTATGGAAACAGTTATAATTCGAAGTATAAAAATACTTCTTTAGGGAAGCGAGTCACGTTGCTGATGAAAATATTAAGAAGAGGGAGAATCGATCCTGTCATCTTTTCGTTAACTGATCGTTCTTATTTCTCTGATCGAGGCATATGGTTTCATTCGAGAAAGGCGAAAATGTGTTCTAAATTCTCACACGAAGATAAAAAATTAATTAAATGACAAATAACACTTGACACACAACTATGAATATTAACTCTTTGCACTCTGAGTTTTATTTCATTGTCGTTACCAGCAGCTTTTAAATATTTCATTTGATGTTTACTTTAACTAAAAAATAGGAATTTAAATAAACGAAGGAAGAAAGAAATTCACTTAAATACCAGTTTTATTCGCACTATCGTCGTATTTTGTAATTTTTAAGCGTATGATGTATTTTGAAACAATTTCCAGGATGCAATCCTGCTTTTCATTCGCACGTTTCACAAAAAAAGGTGGCACTGAAAGAACGTCGAGTGGAACTCGACGAAGGAGCTGCTGAGATAAAAACTGACGTCGAGTCACACTCGACTTAGGAGTGCAAAGGGTTAAAGACGTAATTATCGAGACCTATGCGCTAAACTCACGTGACAAAAGCTATCACATCGATTCAATACAATCTATACAACGAGGAAGAATAATATTTAATAAGATAAGAATGTTTATTTGCTTTATTGGAAATCGCGATACGAAACGGGCACGATGACCGTCTATGCGAATATTACAATATTTGTGGAACAAAGTTGATCAAGGCTATCTTCGTGTCTCGATAAATCTTAAATTTCATCGCGCGTTTAATCGAAATTCAGGATGGAAGAATCTACGCGACACAAAGCGTTGGTGGTAAATAATAAATACTTGCATGATCCCACTTAATTATACATTCATGCGTGAAATGATCTGGAATTAACGTCGATTGAAAGAGTATCGAATTGATTGGCGGGCGAAAGAATGTGGAAAAATGACGTACGATTGCGTGGAACAAATAGGAAATCAAGCGAGTGTCAGCGGAAGCAAATCGCCGTGAAATATTTCGCGGGAAGAAGCTTCGATTCCGTATTCCACGTAGCACGTTAGAATCCTGGGATCAGATTACCTGGAAATATCGCGTCTTCGCGTCTAAAAGTGGCGATAATCGAATGAAAAGCGAAGAATTTCACTTGCCACTGTATTGCGAAATTGTTTTCAAAAGTGACAGAAAATTGTAGAATTATTATAGGAATATATCTATTTACTTTGTTGCAATTCCGAAGTACGCTAATAACGCAATGTTCGAGATAATCATTCTATCAAAAGGTCTCTTCCATATTTTCCAGTTGTCGTATTAATCCTGTCATGTAATATTTGATAATTCGATCAAGAATATTAGGAACGTAAAAGAACCGATTAACAAGACAACGTTTCATTCGCGATCTCTCTTTCAAATAATTTCCAGTTCATCGAACTCTGGTTTCTGACATCGTGGTCACGAGAAGCAATTCCTACTAGCGTCTGTCTAAATTCTACAATTTTTGGAAGCTGAAGAAATTGAAATATTTAGGCAAATAACGACAAGAATAATGTTTCCCTTGTCGCAAAATCATCGACAGAGGCAACGAGATCAAACTAATATGATTCCAGGCCACATCGGTATCCAAGGTAACGAGGAGGTCGCCAACCAGGTCGCTAAACAGGCCGCCACGTCCTCAAATTCGAATGAATATTCTATGACCTCCTTCGTGGAACACTTCGTTATAGATCCTAAAAACTGATTAATCCAGCGATGACAAAGAGATTGGAGACTATAACGGCACACGCCCACGTTAAAAACATCAGCGACTCGCTCTTCCAAAAATACGATTTAACCCTCTCGTTGCTCAGAACAAACCAAGTCGCTATTACTCGCAGGCGAATAGGCCACGCAAAAATCGCCTACTTTTATTTATCGCTAAAGGATCTATGCGAAGATTGCTACGTACCAGTCACAGGGGAAAATCTTATTTTATCCTATCAGAAGTATAACACGCGTCGCATGAAGCAGAAACTGAATCCGTGTACCAAAGACAATGTCAAGAAG